CACAAAGAGGAATCCTGCTAATCTTGTGGGTTAGCGCGCTAGCCAACATTGTTCTCCTCCCCTGGCTTTGTTTGTGCAATCACTGATTAGTGATGCTAGGCACGAATTTCCGACAATTGTTGATGCCTTAGGCATGTCAAAAAACACACCCAAAATGGCAGCACGGAATATATCCGACTTGGAGCGACGTTGCCAGGACTTGCTGTTATTGCAACAAGTCCTGAATTAAACTAAAGTAGTTGATCCTTCCACTCTGTGCACATTGAGTTAGGAAACCAGCCAGTTTGCTTTAGTGACTGTTGCAAAAGCTTACCGCATAAAAATTAAGTTCACAACAGTGACCAGAGTATCAACAAAACCTACAAATTGGAACTACAATCCTACATGGGCGACGGCGACGCAGGCTCAGTGACCAAGTCCATACCCCACTCCTCCAAAAAGTCATTCACTTCACGGCCAAGCAGACCCTTGAACTGATCCAACAATGCATCCGTGTCCGCTGCACTCTGCTTGCGCTTGCTGTATTTGTGCTTGTTCAAAGCCTCGGCGCACCAGTCCCACCAATACACCTGGGATGGGTCCAAGACATGGTGGCTGAAAATATTGAATTTAAAGTTCATGGTCGGTTTGAAAGGGTGTTGAATGTTTTGATTTAACCAAAAGAAACTGTTATAGACACCGGACCTCCCAAGCAGCAGTGGATTCCCCACAAGGTACGATCCTAGGTTTGATCTCCATGCGAAAGAATTCCCGCACCACAAGCCATCTCTCCCTTGCTGGTGAAGACTTTGGGCACTGGCGGCGTGCAAAGGACTTCAAAGGAGACTTCCGCTGCTCACCATTCTCATCCAACTTGTTCTTCTTGGAGGCACTCCGCGTTGCATCCTGGGCAGGCTCCTGGCAAACCCATTTCCCCTCCCATGCTTTGATGCCCTCTTGCGAAACAGGTTTCCAAACAATTTCCTCAGCATTTTGACTTTGTTCCTCCATCCCGCTTGGCTCCTCCTCATTGGTATCAGCAGGCTTCTCAGCAGCCTTGCGCTTGGCAGGAGCACGCTTCCTGGGAGCCTTCTTCTTCTTCGCCTCTGCTTCATCACCCTCTTCAACCTCCATCTTAACCTCCCCCTCCTCATCAGAGAGCAAGTTCACCACGCTATCAAGCTTCTTGCCACGACCACGCCCTCTGCCTCCAGTGCCTCTGGGCCTGCCTTTAGGAGCAGCTTTTCCTTTGGCCTTGGCCTTGGCTTTGGCCTTTGCCTTTGGAGGCTTTCCTGCCCATTGGCTTTTCCGAGTGACAAAAGCAGGTTCCTCTTCTTTTACCTGCGCATCAGATTTCTTTGGCACTTCTTCTTCTCCATTCTCAAGGGGTGGCTCTACCTTGGCAGGAGGATCTGCAAGACCATTCATCATTTCTGATGCAGGAGGCACTGGAAGCGCTCCATCAGGCAAGACACCCTCCACCGGCAAAGGCTCCAATTTTTGGGGGTTGGCAGGTACACCAGAAATGGAATCCATTGGCACTTCCATGGGCTTCCCACCAGAAGTCCCTTCCAAATGCTCTTCCACGCACTTCCCACCACCAATAGAAGTCACTTCCATGGAATCCTCTGGCACTGCCATGGACTTCTCACCAGAAGTCCCTTCCATGGAGTCCTCTGGCGCTTCTATCAGCTCCGAAGATTGGGCTGGCTTTTCAGGTATCTCCTCTTCTTCCGGAATCTGGGAGTCAGTCCATGACGGATCAAAAGGTCCAAGTCCTGGCTATTCAGACTTCGTTTCAACTGGCTAGCTCTGCAACACAGTACATTCGCATAACCATTACACAAAAAACACTGTTGAAGACTTCCTTAATTTTCACAACCAAAGGGCCATAAGGGTCTGAAGATCCAAGCTCCGCTTCCCCAAACTCCAGTTGCAAAGATCTCCGCAAGTCAAAGTCGCCACCGCCGACTTCTGGATCAAGGTCGATGGGCGTGAGAGAACGCGCCACTGCCTCAGCAAGAGGACTTTCCAGCAGCTGTGTCTCCGCATTGTCGGGAGCTGCTTTGCAAGCAAGCCTGCTTGCAAGCGCCAACCTAGCTTGCAGCAATAAAAACTTTGGTGTTGCCTTTACCCGGTCAATTCTTGGAAGGAAACTGCTCCACACAAAAAATCAAAGCTTCAAAAGCAATCACCAAGGTACTGCACCTTGTTCATTCTTGCAGCAATCTCCGCATCCGAGTACTCTTGAAAGCCTTTCAGTGGCTTGTCATCTTTGAAAGGCTGATCTGGTGTGCGCTCAGCATCTAACACCTCCACTGAAGCCATCTCAGGCGGTTTCTCAGCAACCAACGCCTCCGACAAAGAAGGCTTCTCAGTGGGTGTTTTCTCAGCAAGCGATGCCTCCAACGACGAAGCCTTCTCAGCAGACATAGCAGGAGTGTCCATTGAACCCTTGGTCTCCTCAACCGGCGCTGCCACCCCTGCACCCCCACTTTTCTTGACCTGGGGTAGGCGGTCAAAAATGCCACATATGATATTTGCATAGCACACTAGAGGCAACTCTTTAGAAACTGATATAAACATGAAGAATAAAGTGACCTGCTCTTTATGCACAGCGTTTCCAGCCTTGGCAGGCGGACTGCTTAAGCTCTCGTATGGGTCTGACTTGACAACGATCATAAACTCTGTGAAATCGGATTCATCATCGTCACTATCTTCAATGACCTCGACAATTTGGCCCGGCTTAAGCCTCACATTCCACCAGCGAAAGAGCTCCTCGTAAAAGATGTTGACTCCCACGTCCTTAGGTGAATATGTGGGGCGCAAGGGTCTAATATGAAATGAAAAATTATTTTTGCAGTGGAGTTTACATTCAGGGAAAGGTTTTTGAGCCAGGATAAGGTGCAATCACTCTTGCCATCAGCAAAACATTACAAATCAACAGGCTAAGGGTCACGACGTTTGGGGCTAGAGGCAAGGTCCTTGTCAGCTCCACTCTTCCTGCATCCGTAAGAGAACAGCTTCTTCAACCCCCAAGCATCCGCATGCAGTGTGGCTGGGTTGGAAGGAATTTGGCACTCAGCTCGAAGTGCTGCTACCTGGGGCAGAGTTAAAATGCTGTTTTGAATTTGAGGAGGAGACTCCTGTTTCCTTTGCAGCGTGAATTATCTAATTGGTTGGTACATCCAGACAGCAGGTTTTAAGAAGGAAATATAGGTTTTGCAGAAAAACAACAGCTGTTACTTATATATTTGTTGGAAACATATATTAGACCAAGTCCTGACAGTCAACTTGCTCCTCTACATAGTTGACTGGTTGCGTTTCCATTACAAAATTACACAGCTAGCTACCACCAAAAAAGGATCCCTTAAACCCTGGCCTCCCTCTTCAACATTTGTACATCAGGGCTTTTCGCTTTCCTCTGCGGTGGACACCAGAAAGCTGCCACAATCTGGAGTGCGTGAACGTTCAGAGCTATCCCTTGCATAGTGGGTCTCCCAGTTAGTTCAGGTGAGGGCCACTTGACCAAAGAACCACCATTGTCACGGAGTCTTCTTCGGATGTACTTGTTGGATTCCAACATCTGAGCTAGAGACTCTACCGGGGCGTCCAACTGTTTGTCCGCCATGCTCATCCGCTGCAGGTGGGCACTGCAATCACTCCAAGTGAGGGAAAATGGCTATAGAAAAAGGCCGTATAGTTTTCTAAAAGGACAGCAGTCCTTTGACTTGCGTGCATGCAAAAATGCATGTTGGCATGCATTCAGCAAGTGCTTTAACTCTGCCGGGCAAGCCTTGAAGAGGAAGACAAAGACAAAGTGGCCAGCAAAATGCAACCTCCAAAGGAAGTCTCAAGATTCTCAAGGATCTTTTTTTTGATCGCTTCCAATATAACTTCTATGCATCGATAGTGAATCACAAGGCTACTTTTTGAATTCCTTTCGTAGATGCGTTTCAAAGACAGAATGCCTCGACTGCACTGCAGAAAAAACATGTTTGAATCACTGCCCTTGGGCCTGGTGGCCCTGATAGTCATCATGCCATCTCCATGGCCATGCGCAGGGTGCCAGAAGTTAAAAGTAAACCCCAGGCTTGCGTCTTGAGCAACTTTAGTGATGTTAGTAGGGGTTGGCTGCCAATCACCCCATGTACCCTGGCCATGTTTGCAATGAATCTTAAATGCTACCTGAGCTCAGCACAGCCTGGCAGGAAGCGGGGATGCAAAGACCGGTAGAGGTTTCATAGTAACTTGGTGACATCCATCACTCATATGTGTAAAGAACATTGAATCCATGCAAAATCCAAGATCAGCCCCTGGACAAAAATTGTGGACCTCTGACCTTAGAGGTCTTTATTTGCTAAGGGTCTGAAAAAGGGCACACTCAAGAAGACCCAGGTAAATGAAACTAGTAACTAGTCTTTCCAGTTCCATGTTAGTCAGTCGGAGTGTGGTTAACTTTCAGGATCTCCTTTCAGATGAGAAGACCTCAAGACTGGTGTCCTATCGGTCCGGCACGAGTCCGGCTTCGGCCGGCCACTCGAGTCTGTTGACAAACACACTCCTGAGTGTCGCGGTCTTTCAGACTCCAGCTCAATCAGCTTCACAGATATCGCTTAAACCTACATCGGTTGCATCTGCTACATCCGGACGAGGTCCGCGACCGAAGAATCTTCACAGAATCCCATGTTTGCCACGTCCGGAACTTGAATGAGCGCTTGAGGAGAAGCCAAATACCATTTTGTCAGTGCGCATCGGTCGGCATCTATTGAAAAGGCATGAAACAACTCTACTTGGAACTCAACTTTAAGCTTTCTCGAAGTCAACCATGAAATCCTCCCGGTTTCATGTCTCCCGGTGTCCCAACACCTTGGACAAACCGGACACTTGTGATTCTGGTGCTAGCCGCTGCTAGCCTAAACTACACCACTCAGAAATCATGCCAGCCGCTCAGAGAGAGAACAAACATATCCCCCGAAACACGGCAAATAACTCCGAATCCGATGTGTTTGCCAAGTTTCTCCTGGACTTCCTTGGAAGTTCCCCACCTCAAGGCAATCTCTAGACCTGGCACTTGCTCTGTGTCGAACAAAAAGACCGATGAGACCTGTGACGTGGGAAGAACCGAGGAGCTGACAACGTTGCGTTGAAATCGGACGACCCCTGCTGGCCATTCCATGCTATTCCACGCTATTAGGTTGGAGGCCATCGCTATTAGGTTAGTTGTCTTCATTTTGCCGTTTTCCAGTGGGTCGCTCTGTTTCTATAGTGTGTTTTTTGTAACTTGTGGCCGGGCACTAGGACGGCTTCTCTTCACATCTTTTGTCAGGATGTTTTGCACCTCCACAGACTGTCGATGTCCACCTTCTCCAAGTCTTTCAACTGCCCTTCTCCTCAACACCACACAAGGCTGTCAAACGGAATGGCGACGCAGGAAGCATCATGGAGCTGGTTGGAGGAACGAGTCTTCTCAAACCAGGATGTTTATGCCGCGAGAGAATCGACCGCTCTTTGGGGTATGCTAAGTGGGCATGTCAACACCATTCAGACTGATGGTTCTGAGGGGCTGATGGATTCATTGAAGGGGCAGCAACCTACTTCATGCTGGCAGCTAGAAGTGTCCCGGTCTTGGAACATATAACAATTTGGATCACCCACATTTTCCGTTGTTCAGCCTCGCCGTTGCATTTTACCTGAAGTGCAGCAAGTGCAGCTGAGGTTCTCCACTCGCGATCGGTGGGAGGATAGGGAAAGCCTCGATGGGCAAATGTCCAATAACAAAGCCTGTCTGTTCTGGAGCAAAAAACTGCAAACCGCGCAAACCGGTGCAAACAAATGATGGAGACTGCAAACAAAAAGCAGAAACTATACAGCAATGGACCTTACAGTATTCCTGAGAGCTCTAAATTTGATTGGACGACAATCGGATCGAAACCTCGTTGACGAAGACCGGCCAGCAATGATCCCAGTATCAATTCGCATCCGAGAAGCCTTTGGACCTCCAATAAGTGAACTTGTCTTGCAGCCTCGGCAATGGGCCTAACCCTGTCTCACTTGTCTCACAAACCACTTGGACTGAGGATGGCACCTTGAGCTTAAGTGCAACCCAACACCACGTAAGTACAACACAAAAGGGTCGTGAGCGTGTGAATCTTCGACGATTAATCGTAATTGCTCCTACTGCAGCAATCTATCAGAGCAAATCTGTTCTGTCCGTCGGAAGAGTGAGATCATGCGCCGAAGAGTGAGATCTGCCTATGTGTTCCGAACTGGACTCCGCAGCAAACCGAACGTGCATTTCCTGCAATTCTTTGCGGCTACGTTCACACAAGCCAATCACCAAGGGGTACATACTTGCAACAGCTTCAGCAGCCACTTTTTGCACAGAAGTGTTCCTTTTGGATGGAGATGAAGAGGAATCTGAACTTGACGATGACAACGAATCAAACCTTTTCCGTTGGGCTCCATCATTTCTGGGCTACCTTCGGGGTCTGCCGGTTCATCTCCCGATGCCAAAGGCGCTGAGTATATTTCTCTGCGTGTGTGCTTGAGTAATTCCACAAGTTCTATCAAAACAACACGCTCAAAAGAGGCCCGGGCTTCTGCCCAAGTCCGGCAAAACTCAACCGCCGTCATCGGAGTGCTCCAACCAACTTTGAGGCCCCAACCAAGTCTCAGCCTCCTGCGAATTCGCTGCCAAGCAAGAAGGGGTGCTTTGGCTTGTACAAAGACTGAAGCAAAGGGAGGATTCATCATGATTCATGAAAGCCAACTCCAACTTCCCAACAGGCCCCCCCGGGTCCTCCTGCCCGCCGCTGGGATAGTTCAGCACCCTCCAGCCCTCGCGCCGCGCGCGAGCATCCCAGGCGGCTGCGGCGTCCATGGGTGTGAAGAAGCACCCGAGGAACTCCTCCGCGCTGGGACGCGGCGCTGTGGAGCTGGGGCAGGAAGGGAGGAGTGGCCCAAAACCAACACAGTGCTACGGTGGATTTCTGCTTGAAAAAAACGAGCATTTGCTGTTTGGGTGGTAACGTCTGTAAAGACGGGAGGTCTGTAATTCTATGGAAGGGTGGCGTTTGTTGTGGGTTCAGTCTCTCTCTCAGTCTCTCTCTCTCTCTCTCTTGGTGGGAAGTAGTGTTATAAAAGGTTTAGATAGATTTGTAGAGCATGAGGATCGACGAAAAGAATTTGCAGAAGGAAGACGCTCATACCTTTCTACCCACTTTCGCCCAAAGTACTGTCCTTGATCGAGCGAACTGGTCACTTGTCCAGACACCATCTCATCAGCAGTAGGCAATTTCATGTCTCATGCAATTGTGGATATCACCTCTATCACAACGATGGTTCCGGTTCGAAGCGAACTATTGGGGGTCAGGGAATGCTACTGCCTCCAAGCACCATCCAACTCCTCAACTCCATCCGCTTCATCGACCCTATCCCCTTCACCTCCTTGCCAGGCGCCGAAGCGAAGACCGCATGGAAGCGCGGCCGCCCGGTGGCGTTGCAATGCTCATAGACGCCCAGCCTTGGTCGAGGGCCTCCACGGACATCCGAAGGCAGCATGGGAACCATCCGAAGGTCCTTACAAGTGACATTTTCAATAGAAACATGACTCCAACTATGGCGTCTGCAAAAAAAAGATCTCACCTCAAACCAAAGTACTCCGTACTCAGTAATCTATAAAATTCTTAGAGTCCAAAAAATCATATAATGCAGCAGGAGCCATGTTCCTGCCCCCGTGGTTCCCGAGGCGACTACTAGCGGAACTGAGCGATGACGAGCCATGTCACACACGGTCTCACATCTCCAAGCCGACGAAGAATTGCACATGATATGAAGGATTCAGGTGATGTTAAAGAGCTGTACATGATTATACATGTATTTCTTAAAGAGTTATGCTTCGATGTACATAATTATCGTGTTTGTTTTGGAAAAAACACACACACACACATAGCAATTCCAAAACGCATATTGAAAAAATGTTTCTCTTTGTGAACACCCCCAAAACAAATGGCCATTCTCTTCCCCCAAAAAAACAAATGGTGGGCAATTCTCGCTTTGCGTGTCCGGGATGCGGTTCTTCGATCATCTGCCGCCAGCGCCAGTCACGCTTCACGCGGAAATCGCAGCAACCTGCGCCGCTGGACGGCGGTCATCCGGACACACGGGGCGGACTTGGGCGACGGGACCGCCAAAGCGCGAGGGGGTTGGACTGAAGCTGATGGCACCATTAAGCAAAGGCTTCTAGGTTGGAGGCCGTCGCTATTGAAAGAAAACACCACATCCACCCAAGTTGGAGTCTGGTTGGATGAGTGCAGACAAGTGGTGTTCATTCAACTGAGGGGCTTGTCATTGAAAACAACATGCTTGTGGATTCAACGCCCGAACCTGAACCGCCAATTAGGTCACTATAAATCAACACACATGTTGAAACAACATTTTGGGCAAGGCATCCTGCGACTGGGTGTTCATCTACTTTCCGATGACCTTGCCAAGGCTGCTAAGGGTCGATAATTGGAAACACTCTCGGGAAATTCTTTGCCTCAAGTGCTGTGGGGTTCCCTTGGACCATTGAAGGCCCTAGTGCCCAAACTTCAAAGGTATACAACCGAAGAATGCAGAACGGATTTGGACAAAAGCAACTAACAGTAATTTTGAACTCTTGAACAAAGATGAGAGTGGACATGAGTGGACTGAGCGCAAACATGTCTATTGTATCTTGGAATCCTCGGCCGCCTAGCGAATCCTTCCACCGAAGCCGTCTCGGCCTTCACCTGACTTGGGGATACGCAGCCACTTCCGCGGAGGTTGCCTCCAACTCCTGCCATTTTGAAATCGGAGGCCTTGTGTTGAGACCTGAGGACCTGATTCCGATAGCTTCGTGCTCCTAGTAGCGATGCCCTTTGCTCCTAGTAGCGTCCTTGCTCCTAGTTGTAAGGCCAGGAGCCCCTAGTAGCGTCCTTGCTCCTAGTAGCGATGCCCTTTGCCCCTAGTAGCTTCGTGCTCCTAGTCGTAAGGCCACGAGCGCCCCTAGTAGCGTCCTTGCTCCTAGTAGCGATGGCCTCCAAAGGCCTGATGTTAAGATATAGTCAAATAGTTAAAGCCAACTATTTAGCATTCCAAAGACATGTAAATGATCACCCAAACACGGAGGGCTGCGTTCCATCGATTAAAACAGCACTTTTTCAAGGAAACGTGCAGTTGTTATACTTTTAGGTTTATATTTAATTTACTTGCCCTAGTGTTCTCCCAATGGTTTTCATTTCGGAGTTGCCCAATGGTCATCCACTGCCTCCAACAAGCCCAAGCCGCCCGCCCCTTTCCAGACTTGGTGGCGTTCAAATTCTCCAAATTTCAGGGGTTCGCACATGTCCAAACATGGAGATTTAGTGGCTTCCAAGCAAAATCTGATGACATCTGAAGCTTTTTGGTTGGTGGCTTTAGCAACTCACCGCTTCCACAAGCGCTGCGAAGTCGCTCGCCTGGACCTCTCCAAGTCGTCTTCGCTCAACAGACTGGCGCCGCGCTTCTGGGCACCTGGAGAAAGTCACCCGGCCAAAGCAACCACTGTTTTGGGACGAAAGCAATGATAAACCGCCATTAGGCTAGAAACCATCGCTACTAGGGGCTCCTGGCATCGCTACTAGGAGCGATCGGACGCTACTAGGGGCTCCTGGCCTTACTACTAGGAGCAAGAAGCTACTAGGAACAAAGGGCATCGCTACTAGGAGCAAGGACGCTACTGGGTTGGAGGCCATTGCTAAGATCACAGGTTTTTCACCTTTTGGGTCTGGGAGAAAGTGCGAATGATCACCGTTTGGGCACCATGTCTTCCGTGGAGCTTGTGAAAGGTTCTGTTGGAGAATTGCCAGGTGTCCAGCTTTCGACATCATATTGTCAACCCGTCCACATCTCAATAGAGATCTGAGGATCTGCGTGTCCAAACACAATGGCCAAGCCTTCCAACTGCTGACCACACCCATCAGCTACAATGAACTCCACTTTCCGAGTTCGTTGCTCAAGCGGCGTTGGGGTGTCGTTGTTCAAGGTTTGTCTGAAAAAGGCCTTTGTCCTTTGTTTCCCAAACAAATCGCAGGGGCTGTAGACTTAACCCACTCAAGCACTTTACCACGTACGCATTCACCTCCAAAAGAGACACCCTCATTACCCTCCTCAAGAGGACTCACCGCCAAGGTGCGAGGGTTGTCCTTGGAACGCCGCGGCAAGCGCACGCGCTTTCCGAAAGCAGGCGGCAGGCGGGCCTCCCAGCAACCCGAAGGCAAAACGTTCAAACGTAGTTCCCTGCATCTGTGAAGGTAGCATTCTTTAGTCGTTCCACTTGTGACTACTTCTGTGTTGGAGGATAAATTCGATGAGAAGAGACTTTAATTGCTTGATGCCACACTCACCCCTGGTTCACGATTGCCTGCAGCAGCCAAAGCACAACCACCACTGTGGCGCAGAGTAGCACATGGGACTTTGCCATGGCAGTGGCGCTGGAACTGTGCGGGTCACAGTGAAATGGTCCGGAAAATGGCGCTTTCAGAAACGAACAACATGAACCACTCTCTCCTTTGGACAGTTCAAACAGCTATGCCTCGGGTATGTGACCGCATGGCCTTCCAGCCCTCAATGGCCAAGCCTAAGCTTCACACCTTACGTTGAGACATGTCTGAGACGTCTGGGGTGAATTCACACCGTGCACACTGGACTTGTCGCATGGCTCAAATAGATTGGATACTAACATCAGGACTTGTCGCGCACTTCTGTGCCCTGAGAACATAAGAATATGTTTTGGGGGCATGCCAGAATCCCATCAAACCTTGTTGATACTGGCTATTTGCCCCTGGCACTCGTCCTATTTCTGCCACATAGGGGCCAATGAGAAAGCTTGCTTGCCCGGCGGTCGCGCGGTCAGTGCGGTCGGTGCGACAGGAACCAATAATGCAATGTACTGTACTCATAGATGTTCACAAGTTTTCGGACCTTGAGTACTTTGGGATTGCTTCGGAGGGTTGAAATAGCTAGTAGGGGCTCATGGCCTTACTACTAGGAGCAAGGACGCTACTAGGGGCTCCTGGCATTGCTACTAGGAGCAAGAAGCTACTTAGAGTCCTAGAGTCTATGACACGGGGACTGAAGAATCAATGAACCCGATCAGAGAGGTCTCGAGTGGCCACGTCCACATTGAGGTCTTAGAAGTTATGCTTACACTGATAATTAGCACGCGTTTTACCGCGTAATGCAAGAGTTATAGAGGTGTTTAATGAACTTCTTCAGTCTCATACATGCTAATGCGATTACACTTGCAGTTGTGCAAGTTGATTTCAGTCGTCTTGCGCATCGTGTGCCTCTTCCTCTCGCACTCATGGAATCCTGGCTTTTGGATGGATGGACACTCTGCACCATCGAGGACACCGGACACCCAAACCATTCCAAGCCACTAATTTAATCAATGCATTTTTAATTGTAGGATTCAAGCATCAACGGTGGCTTTCGGTTTGTCCTGCCATTCACAAAAACATAGGACTATCTTAGCTCCATGGATCACCTCCCTCTCTGCTAAGAATTTTCAGGAAATCTGCTTCTGCTGCTTGGTGTAGAAGGAGCTAAAGTCACATCTCCTGCATGAGTGAGAACATTTAGGATCAGAGATCTTCCGAAAACACAGAACTCTGTGTCACTAAGCACAAGCGGAGGGCACCAAATGAAACCAATGGGCACCAAACTGATTGGTGATGGACAGTGAAATGGTGTCCAGTCCTCAAATAAGGCCATTTCTGACACCGACGCAAGACCTCTGAGTAAAAATTGCATCTCCACCCAGAAAGAAAACAATCACTCCGATCTGGGACCAAATCACTGGACATGCTCGACCATCCCAGCGGTCCACTTTGGGATTGTTTTGCATCCTGAGCGAAGAGAAACCACACCACCAAAACCAGCCAAGAAGCCAGGTCCCATCCGATTCCTTCCAGATTCGGCCTGCAAAGTTACAAATTATGTCGATGACGTAGCAACATGTAGCAAATAAGTCTGTACAAAATACATCGACTTGAAACAACAACAACAACAACAACAACAACAACAACAACATGTCATTAGAACACGCCATGTGATCGTCCCCGAAATCCCAACTGCTTCCTCCGACTTCGCCCCAAAACTGGCCCCAACCACCGCGCCCCGGCGAGGCGCGGAAGAGCGATGAGATCCATCTGGCCAAGGCTTGGAGAGCGCTCTGGAGCTTTCAACTCGAGATGTGGGAATTCGTGTCAGAAGGGTACCAGATGGGTACCAGAACTCTTTACGTTTGCAAATTGCTTTAACGCAAATCGTTCAGATGCAAAATGACACTTCGTTGTGATGGAAAAACACATCAGCAAGGTCGATGTCGCCTTTGGCTCCGCCGCCTCAGCCACACCTGCCGGTGCTTGGCGCGCATGTGCGAAGTCCAAGTGCGAATAAAGAGAGGCGGCAGGTCTGGTTGATTGGCTAAATCCTATATGCTACCTTATTTCTCTGCAAATATATAAATATACTCGATCTATCTCGATCTTATCAATGTGGTCGTGTGGTTTCCAGTCATGAAAACAAAAACCATTGCTCCATGAACGAACGGTCCAGTTGTTTCAGTTTGCGAATCCACACTGCAAGCTGACAGCTGACCAACGAATCACCCATCCCCACAACAAACTTATATATACTCTTACAACGGTCATAACAGCTCGGTGTTGGTTCATGATAACAGAGAGAAAGATCAACCACCACAGCGGTCTTCGCGTGAAATGCCCGGACCATCCAAAACGATCCGCATCACATTCCCGCTCCGCGCGAGCGTTGCGCAGCCTGGCGTCGCCACCAAGATGCGCTTTCCGTCCGTGGCATTGACCTGGCCAGGTCTGAGTGAGTCTGGGCGGATCCCAGACAGTTCAGATCAAACAAATTAATAGCTTCTTGTTACTACCAGTAAGGCACTTGTTACTACTAGCGATGCACTTGTAATTACTAGCTGCTTCTCTTCCTCTAAGTGGCGTTGGCATCGGTGTGGCACTCTCTGGGATTCCCTGAGGCTGCGGCCGGGAGGGACGCGCCCAGGACAGCACCCGAGGTGCTTGGTCTGGCGGTGCATGGTCGGGACACAGGCAGAAACAACCTGAAGATTGGTTGAGACGTATACCGTATCCAGGGCTTAACGATATGTCCTTATGAATGGAAAAACAAATATTTGAAAGATAATTACCCTCATACCCGGAGGTTATAACTTATGTAGAGCAATCCAACATATCTTCTTGAACCTGCATGTCATCTTGTGGGCATCTGCAGCAAGTTTTTGAACCCCGTTTTAAGCAGCAACAAGCCATGCAGCCGTGGGGCGGGCAGCGAGGAAACACTTTTTGCAGAACAAAACTTTGTCCATCGCTTTAATGGTCTTTGAAGGCTAGGGTATACTGGCGGTCCATGGTGGTCCAAAGACCGCGTCAATTCCGGGGGCCTATGTTCCAATTGAAGTACATCCGGCCTTTGTCGAGGGAGAAAGGGGGCAACGCGTGTGCTTGGAGTGACCTACAACACCAAGCGCCACTGGAAGATGTTGGAACTTTAAGGATCGACCAGATTCAGGTCCAATCGAACAAACGTTTCGATATGGCGGTGGATCAAGAAAAGAGGAGAAACGTCCTCGACATGATTGAAAGTCTTATCTACTGTCGTCAACTATCAACCTCCTGGTGACCAGTCAAGTGCCTCTTCATCTCATCGTAGCTGCCGGCGGCCTGAGCAACCCAAGAGCGACATGGGTTGACATGTGTTGATTAGCTGCAGACTTCAACAAGTTATTTGGTGACAAACGACGGACGCGGCACAGTCATTGGGACCATACCAAAAAAGGGTGCTTCTTCTTATCTAGTACGGTGGGATAGTGTTCGTTTGTGCAAAAAATGGCTAGTTCTCAGCACTGGAAAAGCAAAAGTATTGGGCATATTGGCGATGCGTCCCCAACCCCTAGTCCTAGAACCTGCGCATCTTTGATACACAAAACTCGATGCCTTGCAATCCCCAAAGGCTGCTGCAGCATCTTCTGTAGAGTAAGCCTTCAAGAGCGCAGGCATAGGAAGCTGGGCGAGCTTATAATGTTGTGCTCCATCCAACATGGACCAGAGCACCCAAGTGGTGCACCGACAGTCGCAGGAATCGATAGACCAAAGGCAGAGAATCCATGCAAGGATGCATATAGGACACAAATCCTTTGGGCAACGTAGCGCACAGGATTTGTGTCCCAGGTTGTGCTAGATGGTCCAGTTCTTTGTCTTTCAATGGAGCAGTTCGGACAAGCTTTTTCCAGAGCCCTGGATGGAACCAATAAGAACTTGACAGTGTCTCAAGTGTCTCAAACGTCCTCACTTCAAGTCGTTTTCAACGTCACCAGACGCCGAGACCTGCCAGTTGAGACGCTCCAGGCTCCACGTGATGGCAGCGATGGCTGAGGGTTGGCTGACGCCAAGCTACAGTCGAAGAGAGGACTAAGCCAGGTAGCTGGAGGCAGTGAAGCAGGTTGATCCTTCCAACGACGAAGCGAGGAAAGTATCTGCACCAAGAGGTAAAGCCCCAAAAAGCCGACAAGGTCGGAGTCCAGACCTCCTGTTCACCGGCTTGCTGTGCTGGTCCCAATCGGAGCAGCCTTTCAGGCTCAAGTTCGCGACTCTTTCTGCGCAATTTCTGCTCAGCTTCCACCACTGCGCCACTCAAGGCATCCAATATGATAGGCTTTTGATGTGTATATTATACATTCCTAGAAGATCCAACTCCTCCAGGTGCTTCAGCAAGCTGCCATTGTTCTGCAATCAATCGAACGGCCTCGAAAGATTTGGGCACGCTCCCCATGCCTCCCCCCTTTCGGGTGCCATCTTCTGTTCCAAGTCATCCTTCCAAAGCGGTCCGCCGTCCAAAGCGTCGCCCGGTCAAACCCCGTGTCCGGTCCGTGGTTGCTGCGTTGCTGCCAAGCCACTGGGATGCCGCGTTGCTGCCAACCTGAATGAGACGTGTGCGTCCGACCATCCGTCGAAGGCATCTCCATGTTGCAACAATGAAAGAAGACATGTGTTTCTGCATGCTTGTGAACTTTGCAGGTTTGGCCAATTCTTTTAGCACCCATGGCCCAATGACAAGGTCATTGATCATGCTCTGAAGCAATTGTTTGTTTTTACATCAATTTGTTGTATAACAATAAAGCACTCCTTCGATGCATTGATACTCTGAATGCAAATAGGCAAACACCATGCGCACCCTTTGCAATGAACATTTTGGCAATTGATGAAGTTGTCGTGCTACGTGCTTGCTCTCCAAATTCATTCTTTCAGCTCAGAAGCTGACCCCTCTTCAATGACTTGTTGGACAGCATTCAGAGATATCCCGCCCATCTTCCAACTGACCGATTGAGACTAAGCAAAACTTTCATCCTGTGCCGATGAATCTCTAACAAGTCCTATG